TGCCAAAGATGAGGAGGGTGGCATGTGCCCTGGGGGGTGGGTGGGGGGCAAGTGGGGAAGGAGAAAGGGAAGCCTAGCCGCCCCCCCTCCTCACTGGGAGGCAGCAGGGGGCGTGCTGGACAGATGGTGCGCTCGGAATTTCCAGGGAGGGCTGAGATCATGCCGAGCCCTTAATGAGCCCACTAAGTGCTTCCCATCTTTGGTAACGATGTGGAAGAATGAATAAATAATGGGAGCTGGGCGGCTAATCGCTGCTCCCCGGGGGAGAGGAAGGGAGCAGGCGGAGAGGAGTGTGTTAACCTGCCTTGTTTGGGGGGTGGGGGTGGGCATTCGTAACTGTCAGAGCAGATGGCCGGGAAAGAGAGGAGACGTCAGCCTTCGCCTCCCAGCTAACGGCACAGCTTTGGACCGTGAAAGGCACACATGGGTGCCCCCCCCCAGAAGGTGCTCCTGGTCTCCCAGCTCCTGCCGGACCCCCGGGGAGGTCTCTGAACAGCCGTGATGCCCTGAACAGGGCCTGCCTCAGCTGGGGAGGGGAGTTGTCTTCTCCTTCGCTGTGGCCAGACCCATGAAGGAGAAGGTTTGGGTGGAAGGAAGGAAGAAAAGAAAGAAAGAAAGAAGGGAGGAAGGGAGGAAAGGAAGGAAGGAAGGAAAGGAAAAAGGAAAGGAAAAAGGAAAGAAAAGAAGAGAGAAGGAAGGAAGAAAGGAAGAGCAAAGGCCATGCCCTCCCCAGTGGCCTTCTTCCTGCCCCAGGAGGACCTGAGGAGTTTTGGGCCAGCTTGAGACCCCCCCCCCATTCCTGCTCTCTGTGATGCCTCCGTTGCAATGTGGAGGAGGGCTCCTATCACACTGTTTTTGGGGCAGCCCCCACTGAGTCCGTATAGCACAGGGGGTCAGGGGGTCTCATCACGAGTGTGGACTCTGACTGTTGCACCTGGGCTCCTATCACACTGTGAGTCCGTATAGCACGGGGGGGTCGGGGGGTCTCGTCACGAGTGTGGACTCTGACTGTTGCACCTTTGTGCTCCAGGCAGGTCTCAGGAACTGAGCCGAGACCTCTAGTCCTGTGCTCGGCAAAGGCTGACGTCTCTGGAGGATTTCAAGAGTTCCCTGGATAAGTTCTTTCCAACTCGTGTTTCCGCCTCGTTGCTTCTGGTCGGGGTCCAGAGAGTTACTAGAGGGGACCTTGGCTCCTTCTCTTATTGGATCCTGTCCTTTGCCCGGAGAGAGCAAGGTACCCGGCTGCCCTTCCCTGATCTCTCCTTTATCATCATAGCAACCCTGTAAGGTAGACCAGGCAGAGAGGCCAGGATGGGCCGAAAGTGACCCTGGGAAGGCCTGGATCCCCGTCTTCCCAACGGGCTTCCAGCGCTATACCTGGGGAGGGGGGGAAAGGAGGGAAGATCAAACTCCAACAACACTTTGGGTGTGTGTGTGTGTGTGTGGTGTTTCGCTACACGTGAAACACGAGTCAGTAGTGTGATGAGTCAGTAAAACCCCTTCCGTGAGGCAAAGCTAGCTTGCATCAGCCACGTCCAGGCCAAGGGCGAGAAGAATCCTGGCCTTTGTTCTGCTTTGTTCAGACCTCCCGTTGGAATCCGGCGTCCAGTTTTGGGGGCTGGAGTTTAAGAAGGAAATCTCCCGACGGGAACCTGTCCAGAGGAGGGTGGTGATCAAAGGTCTGGAAGCCAAACCCCGTGGGGAACAGTCGAGGGAAGGAGGCAGGCTTAGCCTAGAGATGACTGGGAGGTGACACGATGGCCGTCTTCAGACGCTACCCGAAGGGCATCCGGTGCAGAAAGGGCTGGCCGGCCTGTTCTCTGTTGCTCCCGTGAGCAGGGGGGGTCAGATCCACCACCGAGACTCCTGCTGAATGTTAGGAAGCCGTTCCTGGCGGGAAGAGCGACTCAACAGGGGAGGGAACACCCCCCCCAGGTGGCCTTCGAAAAGGGATAGAATCTGTTTCTGTGCAGGTGTCTTTTAAAAATAAAGGTTGGACGGCCACCTGTCGGGGCTGCTTTAGCCCTGGATTTGGGTAGAGGACCCTTGAATCCCCTCCAGCTCTGCCTCTCTCCGCTTCTGTCCCGACCGAAGGAGGGTCCCTCCCCGAGGTTGGCCTGTTGAGCTTCCACCCGGCGGCTGCGCCAGATCTCTTGCTGGGGGGAAAGGGTGGCCTCTGCCACCCTTCCTACCTGGCGGACCGGTGGGTATCGTCCTTCTCTCGCGAAGGGACCCACCTCCACTGAAAGGTGAGGCCCCACCCCAGGCCCAGTCGTTGGCTGCACGGAGAGAGTCTGGGGGGGGGCAGCTGGACGTTTTTAGCAGCAGTGGCATCCGAACAGGGGCACCCGCGGCGGGTGGCTGGTTTGCCCCCTCGGTGTCCTGATCGCAGATGGGCGTGAGGCGGCCGCCATAGGCGAGAGGCGGAGAGGGCGAAGCTGGACTTTAACTTCAGGACCGTTCAAGGCAGAGCAAAAGGCCCCTGGCATCGACCCATAGGAGAGGAACTGGGGGTGCTTGGCCCAAGCAGGAACCTTGTCCCCCCCATGAGTCAAA